CTGAAATGTTATTAATTTAATACACCTAAGTACTCGATGAAAACTATATTCTCTCCCTCACCCCCCGCGGGGAACTTTCTAAAAATCTCTTCTTAGTGTGCATTGCCATGGCATTCACTACTAAAACGCAGATAAAAACAAAAAATCGCATCTAAAATAGTACAGTAGAAGCCGTTCTTCCGGTTAAGCCTTAATGCTCTCCCTCACCCCCCACTTGGGAATTTCGAAAAATCCCTTCTTAGTGTGCGTTTTCATGACGTACCCTAACTGTGTACCAAATTTCACCTCTCTAGGTCCAGCGGTTTGCTCTGGGCGATGATGAATCAGTCAGTGAGTCAGTCAGTCAGGACAAGCAATTTTATATATATAGATATATAAAATGAAATTATGAAATTGATTACTTTTCAGATTGTAAGAAGATTTTATTTTAAAAAGGTTCATTAAGTTTGAAAAATATTACAAGTTTTTTTTTATAACGTAAAATATATCCCAAATAATTTTGAAACAGTCTGTTTTATTTACAATCATCAGTCTTATATTTCAATTAATTAATAAAAACTGAAATTGAAGTAAGTTATTTGTTACAAATCAAAATTGGCCTGAACCACTCTTATGTACTCAATGTTACATTTCACATGTAGAAGTTATCAATAATGCATAATTTTATTTTGTTCTACGATACACAGTGCTCCAGTTTACCAGGTTTTTAAAAATTTTATATTACAAATGTATTGGATCAAGTGAGCAAACAGTTTGAGAAATTCTGGTATTAATATAGGAACATTAAGTGAAAAGTTGTTTTTATAACAATAAACTGTGAAAAAATTTGCAGGGTTTTTTATTTGCAAAATAATCAGATATGTAATTGATCAATGGCTTATGGCCTGATTTATTCTAACAGGAAGAACACATTTTATACATTTTTTTTGTTATATAAACAAATGTCTTGATACCATTACAGTGGAGAATGAATTGTGTCTGGTAAATTCTATTGCATAATCTCCAAGATCAAGACCTTAGCTATGTTAGAATCCTTAATAAAATTTTTAATACAAAATTCAGTATGTTTCCAATTCTCAAAGCATTGAGTTGTAATATGGCTTACAAAATTTGGAATATCAATGTGATGAAATTTGGAATTACAAAATTGAAATTTCAATTATTATTAATTAATGGAAAAACTTATTAATAAAACTTATTATTAATTAATGGAAAAATATAACTNTCTTAATATAAGTATATGTTTCAATGTCAGATGTTAAGATATTTCAATCTATGCTGAATAGTAGAATATTTCTGAATGTATGAAAAATTGATGGAATGCTTACAACTTACTTGAACAAATATATTGCCATATTTACTAATCTTTACAGAAGAATGCAGTTAACAAAAATAAAAATACTCAAAGACAATAAAAAAAATTAAGTTACCTAAAACAGGCTCGTCACCAAAAAGAAATTTCTTTTTGATGAGTCTGTTTGAAAAGTCTGTTTTAAGATCTTAAAATAAATTATAAAGTTGCTCAATTTTCAGTAAGTTATGAAATCTAGCAATGGTGTGTTTGTGTAGAAAACTTCCTGATCAGTTGATAACATAGTTGGTATCAACACTGATAAGTTAATAGTTACATATAATCTTAAAATATGTTAACTTTGAGACAAATTATAAAACATATTATAATATTACAAAATCCATTAAATTAAATTCCGTATATTGAATTTTAAATTTATAATTTTGATTTATAAATAAATTAATAATATACTGTAAATTTGGTTTATGGAACACTGATTTTACTGATTGAAAAATATTGGATACGTCATAAAATAAATTATTAATCAATAACTATTATTAAAACTTTTGTTCTGTTTATAGATATCTTTTATATTCTAATTAGTAAATTATGAATGTTTCTATTATTAAGGATAATTATCAATATAATTTTGCATATTGTAAATAAAATAAAATTTAATTATTTAAATTATTATATAAAATTTTAATTATTGCATATTAATTCATTATTATATTATAATTTATCACAGATCGTCCAGGATTAAGAGGGATCTTAGATGTGAAACGCTTGAATATAGCTATATCGAGGGCTCTAAAACTTGAACTTGATCGCACTCACAAATTGCCATGCAAAGGAGATGTGCGAGTGTTTGAAGTCCTTATAGCAAAAGTAAATGATTTAAAAGAACTTAGCACACTTCATAATGAGGCTTTATCCAAATTCCGCCACAATTCTCCACATCTGGAATTTCCAGCATTACATAAAGAATTATTCTCAGTGGACATCTGATTTCAGCATTACTGCTTAATAATCCAAATAGGCTGTGCCACAAAATCAGCAATAGATCCAAAAAAATGTTTTGACTGTCTTCTAATTGCCAAGGTTGTGGTTGTTGCTACATCAAGGTTCCCAGGCAGCTTATTTTGGACAAAAGAAGAGTTCTGCTCCGAGGGATCTATGCCCATGTTGACAACTTCCATTTCATAGATACATGTACAGTAACATCGTTTGACTGGGGAAATATAGAAGAAACCTTTAGTCAAGAGCACTCGAGCACTAAATAAAGTGCAATCACACAGAGAGCAATAATGTGATAAAATATGGGTCTGTGACAAAAAAGCAAGTATATTTGAAACAAAGAGATTATTATAAATATAATGTCAAGGAAAATATTATTTGTGTAGAGTGAGAGATCATTATGTACAAAATATATGGCATTCTTTGCTGTCAACAAATTGTTACAGGAAGAGTGCTGTAGTTGATAGAGGCAATGTATTTCTACTGCCATTATCTTCCCGCTGTTTGGTGGATGGGCAACATCACTTATTTATGATGCACATGTATGTTCAAATGGTATTTGTAAATTGTTTTATAAGGTGTACTTTTTAGTTTTTCTCCTTCCCCTTTGTAATGCAAATATTAATGTTATATCAATCCTATGTCTCTGGTGTTCATTGGAAGAGATTATTATATAATTATATATATGTATGTGTATGTATGTATGTATATACATATGTATGTATGTATGTATATACATGCATGCATACATACATATGTATATATGTGTATATATAAATATATATGTATATGTATATATCATCCCAGCCACTTAATTGAATAAGGTTGTCAAAGTCTGTGAAGTTTGAACGATCTCACTTTGCCAGAAATTTGGTTTCTCAAGTACAAACTGAGATCAGAATATTTTGTACTATGAGTCCCTCACTAACTTTTTTGAAAATAGAAAATATAGTAGTAAAGATAGTCTAATATATATATATTGTAAGTACAATATTTGTATATATAAATAAATATATGTGTGTATATGTTAAGATTTACTGCCATTTCGAGAGAATAGTTTTTATATAAGGAATTACTGAAGATGTCTTTATAATATAATGTTGAAGTTTTAGTAATACACTCCTGAAACAAACAAAATCAAAATTTAAGTTTGAAAATTGTATAGATTGACAGCAACAGTCATGTAGACTGTGATAATCTTCTCCATCTGTGATTTGTATTGGGATGCAGAGAAACCTAATTTCTGTGTAAAGCAGCTTCAGTGCCCCAAACTTATTGCTGTATTTTCTGTACTGTTAATGGCATAATATGAGGTGTTTGAATGAAGAGAATACAACAGTCATGTTAGACCACTGAAGTGTTTTTATCAGTAGAATAAGAGTTGTAAGATGAATCAGTTATTGTATTATGTATGGTGATGTCTAATCAGGGGTAATGCATGTGGAAAAGTGATAATGGTTACTTATTAGTCTGATCTCGTTTTCAGATACAGAATGAATTTTCTTTGGCAATGGCATCTGAAACTTATCCCACCAATCTTAACTACTTACAATGAAATAAAGAAAACTACCTCTGGGGAGACATCACCAATTAGTTATGAAATAGTAGTGGTTCTAGAGAGTTTTAAAAAAAATGAATAGGAAAACTATTTTTGTAGGAATAAATCGGGCTATTTAAAAATTACAAAGGGAACATTGTTATAAAAAGTAATTTGTGACAGAAAGGCATGTTCTTGCCATTCGTTTATTTCTTGGCAGAAAAGCAGAGTGTCTTAACTATACCTACTGTGTAATAATGGCTGGGTGGTGGAAAATTGTTATCTGTTAATACGATAACCAGAAGCGAATTATGGTGTGGTTTTTCCTTTTCTCTCTGATCATGTAAAAAATGCAAACCATATATCTTCTCTTTCTCTCAATCTTTCCTCTTGTTGTTGTTTGTTGTTGTTGTTGTTCTTGTTGTTGTTGTTGTTGTTGTTCTGTCTGTGCATTCAAACCCATGTCAAACCCATCCTCATTCCTATCCACTTTTACTCTCGTGGACTGTCCCTCCCCTCCTCTGGAATGTAAATGGATGTATATGGATTGTTTCTCTGATTTTCTTCCCAACCAGAAAGAATGCTTGAACATGAATTTGTATCTGCTATGTCTATTATACCAGATACAAACTTTAAAAAAATCCCTCTCCATTATCATTAGAAAATATAACAATAGGATCACTGTTGTTTAAAATAAAATCCAACGTTATATGGATTCTATTTGAATCTGTTGACTGATTCCTCCTAAAATGTGATTTAGGAAATAAATATTGAAAACAGCAAACAGTGCCTTGTTTAATAGAAGGGTAAAAAAAATTGAGAATTCACATCTAAGATAGATGATGTATATTTTTAAGACGGGACAGAGAAAAGGAGTTTTGTTGTTGAGTCTCAGATTGATGCTTATCAGATCATTTACTGCTGGTGGAAAACTGCAATTATTTTAAAATTTTACGGGTTGATTTATTGTTTTTACTCTTTATAAATATTAAAAGTTATAGAGAATTTAAATCTCCCTAATTTGATAGAATCATTATAAAGTCATTCCGTTGTTTTGATTTAAGTTACTTCAAGGGAGATTTATGATTGAGTAATGAGGCAATTTGTTTCACTGCCATGTAACAGTATTAACACTGCATCCGTCTTTCTTTAATCACCAGTAGGGTAAGATGGTTTGCAGTGGTTTTAAGGGCTGGTTGCACCAAAACAAAACTATGGAAGTGGACAGTCCATGATCTGACAAATTGCAGAATAGTCAATTTATATCTCCATTTTACCAATCCTTGATGCAATTTTTTAAATACTTTTACATTTTGTTAAATAATTTTTATGAATGATATTACTATTAAAAATTGATTTATTCCAACCATTTTATGACATGCTGCAGGAGACACCGTCCATCTGAAGGAAACTGAAAAACAAAAAAAAAAAATGCTGGTGGGTTGGTATCGGGTTGACTTTTTTCTTAGAATATACAAATTTGTTTAAATCCCCTTTTGTTGTTGTCTGCATTGCATATTTCATATACCTCCCCTTGTCTGTCTCATCATCATTTTAATAGAACACTTCTGCTGCTGTGACGTTATTTGTCCGGTAGTGTACACAAATGTATCTGCGCTGCAAGAAGTGGCAGCCATGAAAAATAAAGCATAACTTTATTACAAATGCTTGTTGTGTTTTGTATATAGTTAGATATTTTTATATTTCATAAATATACAATCATTATATATTGTAAATTATAGACTTTTAAATTTCTCACAAATCAAAATGCTAAGCAGATGTAATTTAATAAACAATATGACCTAAAATCTACAATAATAATAATTAATAATGTCATCAAATATTACCATAATTAATTTATAATAATATATTATATTATTGTTATATTATAATTAATAATATAATTATACTATTATAA